GTTTGAGAAACACTGGGCCTAGACAAGCTAAGACTAGAGCTGGACAGCAGCAATCATCAGTGGCGTAGCGTGGGTTGTCAGTACCCGGGGCAAGGCAAGTAATTTGCGCCCCCTAACCCGTGGATTTGCCCTAACCCCAGATGTTGTGCCCGGTGCGGCCGGCCCCCCCTGCACCCCCCACGCTACGCCACTGGCAATCATTAGGCCATAAGCCTCACTGAACCCAGTGGGGCCTACCTTTTAGCAAACTCACAAGCATTTTGCAAGGAAATCGTTTTTCATTTGTATTTATTTGTGGCTGAAAGACTCAGACTATGGGTTACGTAACAAAAACAAAGAAATGCATAAAAAGTAACTTCTGAAATTAACTAACACACATTTAAAATCCAACACTGGCACACATCCAACCTATACATTTAAAGCACTCTTATACCATACTAAGCTCTTGAGGACATTGTGTTACGGAGACTCCTAGTAAAGCAGTATATCGGAAGTTCAAGTTGTTTCACAAACTTCCAAATGGCTATAAGCAAAATAAATAAATAAAGTGAAAAACCTAAGGTGTGATTTTGCAGCATGCCAAGTGGAAGCTATAAAGAAGATGAAACATAAATAGCACTGTAACTCACTTCCAGTCCAAGAAAGATTGAAGTATATGATGCCTTTCCCCCCTTACTTGTTTACTCTTCTTAAAAAGCATAAACATTCAATTTGTGTACAGCATCTACTTTGGGACGGTGCCTTGGCTTACGGCTTCTTTTAACTACAGCTACAAATCTGTCTATAACAATGGCTATATGTATCTTTTTTAAAAAGTGTACCTTGCAGCACTGCAGATAAAAGTAGCATTTAGGATGCAATCCTGTCTACACTTGCAGTAAATCCCTTCCAACCCCGGTGGGACTTTGCTTCTATGTAACATGCAAAGGATTGTGGCTGCCAGTGAGTTACAGCAGGCACTGCCAGCTGACCAGGGAAGGGAAGAATGCATGGATCATGCCATGCATCTACACTTTGCAAGCTGCCTTGAACATTTCCTGATGGAAATGCAGAGGGAGGCTTTTAATAGTTTATTAAAAATCATTAGCTGAATATGAAATAATATTAATGCAATTGCCTTTCAGTTATAACAGCAAAGGCAATAGGATATTTCCCTGATCCTTGGAGAGCTTGTGGGATCCCCTTCCCCCCAAGGCCACACTGGAAAGAATTCAGCTACTTTCCCCTTCCTCACCCAGATAAACCAGTGAGGCCAAGGCTCCTACCCACCTGTGGCTACCCTATCTTTCCCCTCTTTCTCCCACCCCCAGGTACTTTCTCTTCCTTACAGAACAGTAAGCATCAGGTTGGAGAGACATCTCTGACCCTACCATTTGGGTTTCAATCTCTGGATCAGTTTGTCGTATGATCCCATTCTAATACCTGCCTTCGTATCCCTCTCCCTTTAAATTGATGGTGGGTTGTGTGGGTGGGAATGCCTTGTTAAAATCATGAGGATCTGCACCTAGGATCAATGTTTTAGTGCCATGGTGGCACTGACAACTGCTAGGTATGCGATTTCCCCTCCACACAGTTTGTGGATTCAAGATTTCTACAAGGCAGGTCCTCCAGAGCATATATCACATTTGGGGCCCCATATGTGTTATGGGGACGCGGGTGGCGCTGTGGGTAAAAGCCTCAGCGCCTAGGGCTTGCCGATCGAAAGGTCAGTGGTTCGAATCCCTGCGGCGGGGTGCGCTCCCGTTGCTCGGTCCCAGCGCCTGCCAACCTAGCAGTTCGAAAGCACCCCCGGGTGCAAGTAGATAAATAGGGACCGCTTACTAGCGGGAAGGTAAACAGCGTTTCCGTGTGCGGCTCTGGCTCGCCAGAGCAGCGATGTCACGCTGGCCACGTGACCCGGACGTGTCTCCGGACAGCGCTGGCCCCCAGCCTCTTGAGTGAGATGGGCGCACAACCCTAGAGTCTGTCAAGACTGGCCCGTACGGGCAGGGGTACCTTTACCTTTATGTGTTATGTGGTTTTGGAGGAGGGGGAATCCTGCGCAAAAACCATTATGATCCCTTGCGCACAGGAAGGAAGACCTCTTTTAAGTTGCATGCATAACATACGCACATTGAGAACACATTTAAGGCACCCTCTTCCCAAAAAGAACCCTGGGAACTACAGTTTGTTAAGGGAATTGAAGCTTTGTGAAGGTAAACTACAGTTCTCTGAATTCGGGGGGGGGGGCTGAATGTGTTTTAAATGTACGTATGTATACAGCCCAAGATTAGGACTGCCCCATCACACAGCTGCTACTAAACAGAAGACAACCTGCTGTAAAGTAGGGCATGACCATCCTAGGCATTCCATATAGGGCTGGGGGAAGGAAGTACCCATGACATTGTCCTGTTCCCAGTTGATTAACAATTGGGTTTTGTTTTGTTTGTTTTGTTTTGTTTTGTTTGTAGTATTTATATCCTGCCGTCCTCCCAAGGAGCTCTAAGTGGCATTCATAGTTCTCTTTCACCCTATTTTATTCTCACAACAACCCTGTGAGGTAGGTTAGGCTGAGAGACAATGACTGGCCCAAGCTCACCCAGTGAACTTCACTGCTTAGTGTGGATTTGAACCCAGGTGTCCCAGGTCCTTTTTCAACCCTCTAAACACTACACCATACTGGACATAGTATACAATAACTGACCAGTAGCATGCAGCTCATTTATTTCTCTACGGGTTCTTTAAATAGATGACACCCTTGCCTCCCAATGATTCCCTGGCATCGAAAGATTCCAATTTGAATTTTAGCTCCAGTTCCTGGCAGACAGACAAAGGGAACATCCGCATAGTGGTCTGACAGCCTGCGGTAAGAATGATCAAGGCAACAACCGGACTTTGAAATAGGTCAGATTCCCCCCGCCCCGCCGTCACCGCTCTTCTGAGCAGCAGATGCCACAGTGCCCTGATCCAGCAAAACGAAGCCCAGAGCAAACCCTTGCAGCAAGCTTCATGTTTCTGTTAAAACTTAACACAGCTTTCAAATGGAGATGATCAAAAGTGTTGAGTTACATAGCCCTCTAGTGGCCACACTAATTCCAGTGTGCTTGAGCAGTGCGTGTGTTGATATTGATTTGATGGTGGGGGGACGCGGGAAGCAAGCTATGTGAAGGCTAGACAGTGAAGCAAAGTTTATGTTACTGGCAAAAACACAATAAGAAGAAGAGGAGTTTGGATTTGATATCCTGCTTTATCACTACTCTAAGGAGTCTCAAAGCAGCTAACATTCTCCTTTCCCCTCCTCCCCCACAACAAACACTCTGTGAGGTGAGTGAGGCTGAGAGACTTCAGAGAAGTGTGACTGGCCCAAGGTCACCCAGCAGCTGCATGTGGAGGAGCGGGGAATCGAACCCGGTTCACCAGATTACGAGTCCACTGCTCTTAATGGTCACAAAATAAAGGGCACGATGCAAGGTTTCTCATAATTAAACAATATGCAGGAATCACATTTTATGTAAATGATGTGTACATGACTTGGAGTATGGAAGACAATTGAGAAGATATGGGGGAAATTCTAGAAAGAAACAGTGACCTTACTGTGGGTGTCTGTTATAGACATCCAAACCAGACTGAAGACTTGAATGATGTCTCCCTAGAACAGATTACCAAACATTCAAAAAGGAGAACTGTAGTTGTAGTCATGGGAGACTTCAACTTGCTCAATATCTGCTGGAACTCAAACTCTGCCAAGAATTTAAGGTCCAACAAAATTCTCCATTACCTCACTGATAATTTGATTTCCCAGAAGGCAGAAGCAGCAACTAGGGGGGTCATCTAGCCCTCATTCGGGAGGACTTGTAGACTCTCCTTCACTGGAGTTTTTTAAGCAGAGGTTGGATGGCCCTCTGTCGTGTATGAGTTAGCTGAGATTCCTGCATTTAAGGGGTTGGATGAGATGACCCCTAGGGGTGCCTTCCAACTCTACCATTCTGTAATTCTGACAAATTTCCTTTTTTGTTAAATGATCGTTAAAACATGTGAAGCAAAAAAAAAAAGTGTACAGTATTCACATTTTGGGTTTCAGCTTAGAGTTTCCTATCCTATTTTAATTGCTTTGCCTCCTTGGAGAATTGCCTGTTAATTAACGGTAGATATTTAATTTTCTCCCCACAACCGTAATTTAACTGCTTCTTTTCTTGAATCCTCTGTGACCTCTTCCTTACCAACAGAAGTCCTAAAATAACTGGTGATTGGTAACAGGCAAACTGATCCTACACACCAGTTATATATGGGACAGAGAGGCACCATCACTGTGCTAGTGGAGCAGGTTATATACCATATCCGTCTGGGAGGCAACGGGAACAGTACAGAACCAACAAACACAGGGATATAGCAGTTCAGAGTTGGAGGGGGAGGGGGTTGATGACCCATTACTATTTCTTCAGCAGTGTTTTAGAGCCATCCAGTCAGCACAAAAGGGAAGCATTTTAGCCACTGTACGCTCCAAAGGCAAGCATTTAGGAACACTGAAAACATAAGGCAAGTCTATTTCAAGAGAATGGGGTGCAAGTTCTGGTACATCTATCAAACTCCCTGCCTGCTCCTCCCCCCCCCCTATATATATATTACTGTGGTACCTTGGGTTACAGACGCTTCAGGTTACAGACTCCACTAACCCAGAAATAGTACCTCAGGTTAAGAACTTTGCTTCAAGATGAGAACAGAAATTGCGCTGTGGTGGCTCGGCAGCAGTGGGGGCCCCATTAGCTAAAGTGGTGCCTGAGGTTAAGAACAGTTTCAGGTTAAGAATGGACCTTCGGAATGAATTAAGTTTTCTTAACCCGAGGTACCAGTGTGTGTGTGTGTGTGTGTGTGTGTGTGTGTGTGTGTGTGTGTGATGTATGTTTTCTCAACTCCAGCTAGATGTTTTTTCTTTGGAGAAACTATACCATGTGTCTGATGACAGAAGAAAACATTAACTCTCTGTTGAAACAATTTATTTTAAAAAGGAAGGACACAGTATGAAAGTACAAAAATTACAGTGGCAGGCTTGCCATATTACTTTGGGGCTGATGTACATAAACATACTCATGCTGATGGTGTGCCAGTGTTGAATAATTCTCAAATCTTAAAGGTACGAAAGTCCTCAGGGCCTCTAACTGTTGGTTGTAAGGAGCTCCTATTATCCAAAATTCATATTACAATGCAAAGTAATAAAGAGAGAAATGCACCACAGGACAGAATATTTGCTGGGCTAAACACCTAGGGATCATGTAATGTGTACACAATTAGGCTACTGGTCTTTCTTAAATATATACAATACATTAAATATTAGTCCCCCGTACCTGTTTTCTGCTATGTGAACATAATTTAAAGTTTCCTGATATACTCAAATTATCACGCTCTATGTTGCAACACTTTCCTGTGCCTCAGAGGCAGTGTGTATCCATGAAAACTAATGTCAATCTCCTGCTATGATAAACAAGATATATACGATTTTAATCACAAAAGATCCACTAATACATTTGCTTCCAGTTCTTAATGTTTATAAGCTTCCCCCGTTTGTGCTCCTTTCTTCTCCAGTATTGAGCAAGTTCTCTTCACAACAGAGAACTGATTCTGCTTGCTCAGTACCTAACCAAACACAAACTAAAATGGTGTCTACTATTTTGACTGGTATTAGGAATTTACGACAAACATACTCAAATCATTTCCAAACATAACCCTTCCATCCTTCTTGGTGCTGCATTCTGGCTGGCCCAAAGCCTGCAGAAGACTCTGCTTCAGATCCTGGGGTGCTGAATTCATAAAGTCTTTAGTTCCTGTCAGAAAGTCCATTGTTTGACCTCCAGTGGTATCTCCTTCAATAAAGCATTCAGTTATATCCCAATAAGAAGGGAAATTGTATACTTGGTATGTAACTCCCATTCCTTCCAAGACAACTTTGATGTCATCAGCTGTGATGTAGTGGCCGCTGTCGGTTGGGGGAAGACAGTGTCTGTAATTTTTCCATATGGAGGCCCACCCACTCTTACCTATGGGAAGGGAATTGTGAGTTTCACTGAGCCATTGTGCAGAATTAAGGTGACATAAACCAAAGCCAATATTGTAGGCACACTTACTACATAGAAATCACACCCACGCACCCTGTGTATGAGTATACTGTAGTTAATGAATAGTAATTTTCCTTGATAAGTTGTAGAATCTCTTGATCAAGAGCATCCAATACCACACCTACTGTTTAAAAAAATAAATAAATGGGCAAGCCCCTATTTCACACATTAGACCTGAGGTCTGATCTTACGTGGGTGGGCAAAGCCTAAAAGAGGAGGCAAAGCTGAAATGAGAAATAAAACTAAGAGATAGAGCAGTGGAAGATGGATTAGGAAGCCCTCTGCAAGCAAACAGTTCAGATATCTCACAACAGCAATCTGCTCCTTCCCTGGCAGCCTTCTGGACAGGAAGGGAAAGGGAGGCAGATACAGATAAAGGTAAAGGTAAAGGTAAAGGGACCCCTGACCATTAGGTCCAGTTGTGGCCGACTCTGGGGTTGCGGTGCTCATCTCGCTTTATTGGCTGTGGGAGCCAGCGTACAGCTTCCGGGTCATGTGGCCAGCATGACTAAGCTGCTTCTGGCGAACCAGAGCAGCACATGGAAACGCCGTTTACCTTCCCGCCGGAGTGGTACCTATTTATCTACTTGCACTTTGACATGCTTTCAAACTGCTAGGTTGGTAGGAGCAGGGACCGAGCAACGGGTGCTCACCCCATCGCGGGGATTCGAACTGCCGACCTTCTGATCGGCAAGTCCTAGGCTCTGTGGTTTAACCCACAGCGCCACCCACGTCCCTTATATACAGAACAGAGGATGGCAAATAAGGAGAAGTCTGACTGTATAGGGCACTTGCCTAGGTTTCTATGAACATGCTTAGAAACCCCCTTCTACCCATCTTGCTCAATGTGGAAAGGTCAAGGGTGAACATGGAGTGCACAGGGATGGGTGCATTGAAGGCAGGCAGGCAGGCTGGCACACACCCACACAGCACTGTTCACATTGGCAGTCCCTGGCTGGTGCCTGAACTGGGCCCCCATTAATTCCAGGAGAATCTTACTCAAGTTGGGGAAACAGTACTTCAAAAACAAAAACAAAAAACCCACTCACCTGATAAGATTATAATCAGAAGCTTAGCATAACAATCTAGGCAGCTGTGAAAAAATCGGATAGTGCTTGCAATATCCTCCACACGGTACAGCATCTAAAAGGTATAATGCCAGAAACATTTTGTTGTTAATATATCATTATGAACTTCATAGAGGGCTTCTGCATATGAAAACTAATAAATGCCCCATTGCTTTTATTCTCCATTTAAAAAAAACCACATTAATTCTAATTTTACAGATTGGGACAGTACAAGGTTGTATCTGTATGGGCAGTCCCATGGGAAGAAGAGTGCTCCCCTTCCTTCCTTAACCCTCGCTTTTTTGTCAGATTTTACGTGCACAAAATATGGTTTTAGTCTGCATCCCAGACATGTATTGCTGCTCACACAAAACTAAGAAAATCCTATGTAAAGGCTAAAGTATAATTTGGCAGGAATTATCAACATCACATCCATTTCCTTTCCATTCCGATGAACTGGTGAAATATGGCCTGTCATATACCAGGACACCTAAGTGTTGTTGATTATATTGAAGAAAGAATGTGAGCTAACACAAAAACAGAGAATGTCATATGATCGGTCCTTAATTTACCTGGATCAGGTGTATGAAGTCGTATTTCTTTTGAACGTTCTGCTCTTTTGCCTGCTTCTCGTATTCCATGGATGTCAACTGGTGCCAGCTGAATGAGACATTCTTTAGGTCAGTTGAATTTCTTACAGCCTCTGTTTATGAAATAATCGATAAAGTGAACTTCATGTGGATCAAAACATAAGCTCAGTTATCCTGATAGTGAAAGAATGCAATGCTGTACCTTTATACGCCAAAATGTGTTGAGGGTTGGGCTCTATGACTTCATTTTTGATAAAGATTCCTGGATGCACAGCCTGAATTATCCTAATCATTTTCAAGTCTTGCTCACCTATAAGATAAGTTCAAAGCAAATTCATTCATTAAAATCAGTCGGTCCTTAAGGTTGAAATCATGTGCATATTTATCTAGAATTTATTTCCACTGAACTCAGTGTGGCTGATCTCAAAGTAAACATGCTGAGGATCATGCTGTATTTCAGGTATACCTCAGAGAAGCTTCAGGTGTTTTAAACAAGTGCTACTAGCCATTTCCCCAGCATTGGCATAGGAAGCTGCCTGATTGTGACTCGGACTGTTTGTCCATTTAGCCCTGTATTGTTGACATAGATGGACAATGGCCCTTCAACGATCTTTCCTAGCCCTACCCAGAGATGCCAGGGATCAATCGTAGGCCCTTCTGCTTGGAAAACTGGCTTTAACTATTGAGCAACACCCATTCCTTCTATAGTCTATGCAAAAATAAATAATAATAAAAACCCTACAAAAAATTCCTCTCAGATATTATACAGAAACAGTACCAGACACTGAAGCCTTATAACACCTGGAACTGTACTCCAAGTGGAATAATGGACACTGAAAGGAAATAATCCAACTTCATTGCACTTATATAAATCCAGATTCAGGAAAATGTGCACAGGGAATAAGCCACATATTATGTATAATTTTGACCAATGGATGCCTTAGCCTGAAAGCAAAATAGGCTGTGTGTCTATATTAAAAGAAAGGAAAAATCAACAACAAAGCATTGGCAGCTGCCACCATGAGTGTCCCACTCAAAGCAGATACATAACTGAATTATTTTTTTTAGATTTTTGTTCCTTACCTGTGCCACTTCCCACACCTAGCACATTGATGGTAGATTTTCCATTTCCAAGGCTAAAAGGATAAGCATTTATTATGCAGCATTAAAATACAGGAGTTTTGATAATTATTTAGGGTTGCTATATTTCAAAAAGTAAAAACTGGGACACCCCAAAAGCTTACAAAAACGCAAAAACAACAACAACCCATGATTTTTCTATTGACTTGCCTAAGATCCAGGGCAAAGTGCCACCTTTCAGAAATTCCCCCCACATGTCAATTCCACCTTTGAAATCCCAGTTTCAACTGGGAAAATCCGGATGTATGGCAGCCCTACATTTATTTTGCTAAACCGTATGCTGCTGTCACTAATGCATTGCCAAAACTTTCTCACAGCAAGATGCAGTTTGAGCAATAAATATCACAATATATGCTTCCCCCCGCTTCCATAGATATCTCTAGAAGATTTGTGTTCCAGTCATTTTTGTCCAATAAATTTATGTGTACACATCAATAACCATAATGAACTCAGGCTAGCATTTCTGTGTCATATAAGTTCTTGAGCACTAGAGTCACTAGATCAAACTGCCCTGAATTAAGCAACATCAGTGATGCTCTGTGAAGCTGTAACAGTTTAAATTAAGATTGATTGCCTTAAATTAAGAGTGTTCCATCCAAATAATTTAACTTGGGAAAGCCAAATGGGCAAATAATGCACAAAACAAAGGAGTTCCCATCTAGAGTTCCCATATGGAGTTTCACCAAGACTTGGATCACAATCCTTTGCACTTAAGTAAGAGTAAACCCTACTGAACTCAGGATTGGTTGCAAGGCATCCCATGAGATTTGTTTGCACGTTGCACGTCCATTATCATAGAATGGACATAAATGAAATGGACATAAATGAAAAATAAATAAATATTCCTTGAGACCTTTAGAGAAGGATGAGCATTAGAGTGCAGGAAGCTACAGACATTTGACCATTTCCCAACATTCATATTTTTAAGCATTCTGGTTTTTTTTCCCTTACCTGGCTATTATACCTGGCAGCTCCTCCTTATTGAACTGGCCCATGCATTGGTGCTCAGTTGAATGGTCTAAGAATGACTTAAAGGCTTTTGCGTATTCATCCACTGTAAGGCTTCTCATGGGCTGGGTCACACAAAGCTCTTTGGAATGTAAAGCCAAATTGGTGTTTGTTAAGAGCTGGAAATAAATGCCACTATACCTCATAGAAAACTTCAGAGGTGCATTGATAGCAATAGTAAATAACATAATTGCACCAAAGGTTAGTTTATGACAGATTCCACTGAAAGCAATGAAATAAGACTAGGCTGCACACACACACACACACACTACGGTATAGTGTATTGTGGCTATACATTTAACATACATGACTCATCCTCAAAGAATGTGAGAGATATGACACAAGTAGGGGGAGAGAATTAAGGCCACTAAAGGAGATATATAGATATAGATAGAAAGAGAGAGAGAGAGAGATGATAGATAGATGATAGATGATAGATAGATGATAGATAGATAGATGATAGATAGATAGATAGATAGATAGATAGATAGATGATAGATAGATAGATAGATGATAGATAGATAGATATAGATATAGATATAGATAAGCCTTTTATGAAGCTTGCCAACCATAATCTTGATCCAGAGCACATTCAGAGCTCTTGGACAACTGTCCCATTCACTTCACTGGAGCCAGCAGAGTGGGGTACACAAAGGAACACTCATATAAGCATCTTGCTTCCATTGATATGAATGGAGAAACCCTTGCAGATACAAGAGTGTCAATAAAATGCTAGATAAGGACCTCCATCTTTGGCAGACTGCTAACACATGTGATTTTCCATGTCTTACCACCTGCCCCTGTTAGACCAAGACTTGGGTGTCTTTAAAGATGTACATCTGACAGCAAATGTATACTCAGCTGACATTTCATAGAGCATGTAGCTTTATTTAGCCAATGGTGCCTAGCAACTGACAAATTCTGAATGCTTTACTTGGGAGTTATACTGGTTGGATGGGTAGAGGAGTGCTCCCAATTCCCGCTACCAAACACAATTCTAGTTGGGGCCAATGGCCAACGTAATGGCATTCTTACACTAGCATAAATTTTAGCAGGAAATTTGCTGTCATAAAAAAGGGCAGAGATGGGGGCACAGTATGTAAGCAGCAGGGACTTGGCTAATACAGCCTTACCTAAAGTTATGCAGCAGAATAGCTGCTGTAACTAAATATATAGCTGTTGATGAACTCGAGATTGCTGCCAAACATATAATCCACCCAGCCTCCAGGGCATGTAGATAGCCAGGATTCTGTCTCTGTAGCTAATCATGACACAGCATCAGGACTGTACAATTGTGACTCCTCTGAAGACATCCATGATTGGGCAGGAATATAGGGGATTAGATGGTCCTTGAGGTATCCTGGACCCAGTTTGTTATGGGTCTTGTAAATTAATCCAAGAGCCTTGAACCTGGCTAGGTAATGTATTGAAGCCACTGCAACTCTTGAGCACCAAAGTTATGTACCGGGTTAATCTGTCTCCAACAATAGACAAGTCATAGTGTTTTGCACCAGATGGAGCTCCAAGACCTGGCACAAGGGAAGCCCCACATAAAGGGTGGGGTTAAGGTTACCAACACATAGATCACCATGTCAAGACTATCCCTGTCCAAGAACAATCATAGTTGACATACAAGCCATAGCTGTTAAAAAAAGTACTCATGGGATGGTGAACTTTCCTCTACCTTTGTTGTTTCATGATGCTCCACATAGCATGGGGGACAAGGGCCCAGCACAACACTGTACCAGAGCTGAGAGCTTATGTGGACTTGCTGCTGGAGTACCAGCTAATGAGAGGTCCCAAGAGCTCAAAGCCTTCTTGACTTTACCTTCCTCCATTACTCTTGGTTCAATGAAAGGATCAGTGTTGCTGCCATGATGTATGACAACTAAATTGACCAGGGGTTGGGGAGGAGGCAGGAATTGCTAGATGGGATGAAAAGGACTGGGCTAATGAAAAGCATCCTGTATGAATGAGTCAGATACTTACTGTTTCTATCTAATCATGTGCCAATCATTCTGCCTATTATATGCCATTGTCTCAAGAATGTGCATGTATTTTAAGCTTTTCCAAATCTCATGCTCTCAAGGCAAGGAATGGGGAACTTGTGGCCTTCCAGATGTTGCTGGACTACAACTCCCATCCCCAACCATTGGCCTTACCATCTGGAACTGAGAAGAGTTATAGCTGGAGACAACAGCATCTGGAGGGTCACAAGTACCCATTCCTCTTCAATACCATAGTTAGAGATCAAACTTCTTGTGTAGGAAACTTGTGCTGTTCCACTGAAAGCCCTTTTTGCTACTGGTCTAGTCTAGATGACTGTCATGTTATGGTGTAAATCCCATCATTAACCTCTTTCCTGTTTGATCTTCTGGTTAGATGCTAGAAGTCCTGTCCTCTGAAGTCAGAGGACCAGAACCCAGATCTCTGCCTTTTCTATCTAAAATAATTGTTGCTAGCAGAATCCACAAAGATGTTCTGTGGATACACACCTATATTCAGTAGGATGTAAACAAACACACACACACACACACACACACCCTACACCTTCCTACTGAACTACCAACTAATGACCTACTCTTGTAGTATCCACTCTTCTTTGTCTCTGTGGCTGCCCCAGTGCCCTCTTTCAAAATAACATGGTCTCCTCACACAGACACAACTATCTCCAGCTCCAGTCGCACTGCCAGTAAATAATCCATGGTGTGACAGTGGGACATGTACCCTTCTCCAGGTAGCAGATGGGCATGGAGCTGCTGTTGCTTATGGCTTCTCATGCAGGATTTCTAAACCCAGTTAACAATCATTTTATCATCTTCGTCTTATTATTGCATGTTGAGAACACCTCCCATTCTACAGAAAGGGGAGGTACGAGGAGGTCGGGAAAGTAGGTTTTTACAAATATAAGGGTTTGAAATTATACATGTTGTTGTATGTGTGTGTTTTTTTATGTTTGCATTTTTGCTTTTCTATGTTTTCTGTTTTTTTATTTTATGTAAACTTTTTTAAAAAAAACCTTAATAATTATCTTATATATATAAAAAAGAGAACACCTCCCATTCTTGCCTTTTTCACTGCTTTTGATTCTGCAACTGAGGCAAGGTAAGATTCCAACTTATGCTGGCGTGAGCTCCGATGTAGAAGCAGTGGTCTTAATTGGACTCTAGGTTTTCCCTGCCTTGCCATGGCACCATTTTGCCAAGTAGCCACAATAATATATATCTGTCTTGCAACTTGCTAAGCTTCAAAATTACCTGAATTGTTTGCAGATGTCACCAATATCTCTTTCTCAAAATTGGCATCTTGTGTTTTCCTGCAGCAAAGAAAATATGGTATTTATTTAGCGATTTGAGCAATCCCTCACCTGTTCCTATGTCAGCTGGGCAGTAATTTCACAGTTACTCTCCCAACCCCGGGACATGGGCTTTGGTCTCCCTGGCGTACCTTTTTCCATACTCTTCATCATCATCTATGGCTCTGACCACAGGCAGCTTGGCACCATTCATGGAGCAAAATCCATTGGAAAACACGCCATTTTGGAAGCAGCCATCTGCACTTTTGCTTTGCTTTGTTTTGGAGACTCTGCATTGGTGATGATAAAAAATATTGCTTATGGCTAACTGCACCAGAATGACCCAGCCCCTTCCTGGCCTAAGTAGCACAGCCATACATGTCAACCCCCTGGAAGTAACTGATAGCCAATCAGGTTCAAGGAGTCATCACTACAGCACAGCATTGTGTGAGTGCATATTTGTGATGTGTGTCTGTTCCATTCTAGGCCGCAATCTTGAAAAGCCACACCTCTCTGGCGATATATGTTTATATGTGTATGTGTGTTTGCAACACACAGGCTTAGTGAGACATAAAAAATGTACACAGGGAGAACTTGCAGAAGCATTTGGAATTTATTTCAGCAAAAAAAGATTTTAGGTTGAATACAAATGCAGCACTATCTTATGCCAGGTTCGTTTTTTATTGCTTAAGAGCAAAGCTTGGAAATTATTGACTTAGCCTTAGTGGTCTGCATGCAGAGCAGCATTATGCTGAGTTAGACCATCATATTAATTAGTTCCCTATTTCTGTGATGCAGTCTGTCAAAACACCCACTGCACCCTACTGTTTAATTGCTAAGCAGCACTAAACTTTGTTGTATCTGGGTGAAGTCAGGCCTTTCCTACACCTTATTTGTTTGTTTGTTTGTTTTGTCTACCACCCTTCATCCTTAGATCTCAGGGCGGTTCACAGCATCTTGCTGGAGACGGACAACAAAGTTCTTGTCTAGGTCCCTGATTGAGGTGACCTCTAAGGCTAGGCTTCTACCCCACATACTATATCTACACAAACTCACAGCGCCACCCCCACATCAGTTTGGACTTCATTTGCTTCTCTTGCAGAGGGACACAGAAGTCTTTAGGACACTGAATCCCTGCCCCATGATGACACAAAATCCTACACAGCCTTGGGTTAGTTTTTGCTTCTTATCATTATCATTTATTAAAATTGCATACCGCCTTTCATCTATACATCCCAGGGTGGTTCACAACACAAAAACACACGATAAAAAAAACCAACCCCATTTCATGAGCTGCTCTCCACATTTTAAAACCATAAGGACTAGTAACTAAATTAAATATTTTAAACATTGGGTTTTTATTTGTGGGTGGGGCATATTCAGTGTTGTGTCTCAAATAAATGATAGAGGGGTTTTTTTGGGGGGGGACCTTAAAGGTCATCTAATCCAAACATGAGCATAAATATTTAAGTTCCTCTGCTCTGATTGAATGGTGCTGGAAAAATCATTGTCTCTAAATCTCAGTCTGCAATAATGGTCCTGATAACTTCTCAACATTACAGTAATCTGTAAGAATGGATGTAAATATATATTATACTGTAAAAATGGATGTATATATAATATAAAATATATAAAATATAAAATAGAGATGTCTATCTTCTTATACAATCAGAGCGGCTCTTCATATCATTCTTACCTTTTCACCTTGGCTTTTGGCTCCATGTCTTCTATAGGCCTTCTCCAGTCTCTCTCTTCTTTAAGGACCCGTTCTTGCTCTCTTTTGGCTTATATACTCCAGATGGACTCCAGTGTGTTGAAGTACAGAAGGCAGGCACAGCTGGTCTTCAGTCTCTACTGGTACTTTCCTATACCCCCCTCATCCATTTCAAAGTGATATGCATTTTGGCTCAGCAGTGCTAAAGGTTAGAGACAGATTTGACTCTTAGTTGATATTTCCATCTGTTACTGTCACTGTATGTCAGTCTCCTGGCCCACTGAGGAGCTTTCTATGACCTGTAGTATCTCAGAATGTCCTTCCTCACACCTGTTATCACCCTCCCCCCAGTCGCTTGAATTAGTATGCTCTAAGAAGATACCTTATCCTGAAGACCATAGATAACATATGAAGTCATAAAGTTACCCCTTTAGGGAGTGCACAAGAAACTTGGCATACAAAGTGTATAGGAAAAGGGTGATATTTAAATAGGTCAAGAAGTATGCCCCTTCTCAGTTCTGTTCAGCAGCTAGCATTGTATAGCTATGAAACATACAAAGAACAATTTGTCATACTAAATTTTACAATATACTCAATATTTATTGGCCTCATTCACACATAGCATTAACCCATAGTTTATTAAACTCTGATTTATTGAATCATGGCTTAGCATTAAGTCTAAAACCTGCTCAATCTATGGTTTGTTTATTCCAACAAACCATGATCTAAGTCATGGTTGATTGTTAGCTTATGAGCCTTGGTTTGTTTTAACGATGGTTTGGTGTTGCATGTGAACTCAGTGCCCTTCCTTAAAAGCAGTTTGCTGGACCACAACATACTACTCCAAACATTCACCAAGTCACAAAGTATGAGACAAGAAGTAGCAAGTATTATTGACCAAGTACTTGGTTCCAAAGCTTAGCTTAAGCCAAGAGGCAGTTTCTTTCTGGACAAGTGGACTTTAGAATCTCACCTCTCCTACCCTGTATAAAGGTTCTGCTCCTTTGTCCTTGCTCTCTACTGTATGAACACATGTAGCAAAACACAGAAACATTTTCAAAGAAAAGCAGCTTTGAGGGCTGGGAATCCGGAACACAGAAACAATGATGGGATGGGTGCTTTTTCTGCCTGCAGCTTCTACACTCCAAATCCCTTTCCCATGATGTGTTTCCCATTGAAGGATTAAAAACATGTGAGACAAACCTTATGCTAGCAATTTCTCCCCAAGCAGGTAAAACTGTTTTATTCACTGACGTCAGTGTTAGGCAGCAGTTGGATGGCTGCAGGTTCTGGTATCATGAGAGCTCTATCCACTTTCTTTACACGATGCGTAAGTTTACAATCTCCACCTTGTAACCTTTCTTGGTAGGGAAGTTGTTCCAATCATCTGATCATGTTTATTATCCTTTCGTTTTCTAGCTTGACAACGTTCTTTTCAAGTTGTGCCAACTGGAACTGTACCCCGTATTCCAAGTGTGGCTTCACAGCAGACTTATAAAGATATTGCAATATAGGCCAATTTAGTTTTGAACATTTCCCTACAGATTCCTAACACTCAATTTGCTTTTTCCCAGAGCTGCTAGATTCTGGGTCATGTTTTCACCATGCCTCCAAATCTCTTCCTTGGCCAGTCACTCGTGACACTCCTGGAAAAAGCCCAGGAGTGAAACTTTGGGAGTCTGAAGGTTGTTGTCTCAGTCATAAATGGCACTCTTGTATAAGAATTTCCTGTGAAGCAGCCACAAAAGTCACTTCACAATGTAAGAAATAAATGTTTAAAGGCACCCTTTCTGCCTGAATTGTCTTAAGTCAGTGAAAATATTTACAGTCATGGTTGTTGTCAGTCATTCTTGTTGACATTTCCCTCTTCATATTTATATTTCCTTAGCAGGAACGATAAAGGCTTTCCCCTCTTTATATTGCTCAAGAACAAGGTCTATTGTTCCCTCTGCTGGCCAAATGTATACCAACCATCAATAAAACTTTATATAACTTTAGTTCAAGACAGATGACTGCTTGGTATTATCAAGCTACAAAACTAGGCACACTGTGAACGCCATGAAAGCATCTTTCAACTAAACATGCATAGGACTGTGCTGCAAGGCTGCATAGTTAGCAAAGTAAGTGAAAATTAGTGCTGCGCTGAATTTTCGTGAGCTTAGGGTCCCCCCCTTCTTTTTTAATAATCTTTATTAGTTTCAGTTAAAAAATGAAGTCTATATATACAACAGTATTCAATACAAAAGCTGGAACAAAGAAGAAGAAAGGAAAAACAAGTACATAATTTTATACAAATCTTCTGTACGAATATAATAACAAATTGACCTTATGTTCATACAAATACAATTTCATAAAAAGAAGGGGGAAAGGGGGGGGAGATTTATATACATAAACTTTTAAAAGACTTCCAAAATTTTCATTTACTCTGTCTAATCTTTCCTTTATAACACGCAGCCTCATACTACATTCAATTATCTTCATATACCCTAACGAACCTAACATAATATTATTTACACTTCTTGTTTTACAAGAATCAGTCTAGTTCTGCCAAGAGAATTTCACTCTTATAATGATTTTTTAAGTATTCTTTAAATATTCTCCATTCCTTATAGACTCTCTGTTTCGTGTCATTCCTTACTCTTCCTGATAACTTTGCCAACTGAAGGTATTCTATCATTAGAGCTTGGTTTTCAGTGTGAAAGTTGCTGTTTCATGAAGTATGAAAATGTTTGTGAAAACTGCTGCTTTATACTCTTTTATAGCTTTTTCATGCCTATTTGCGGCCATTGTTACCTTGATTTTGGACAGTTTTAAATGATTTGGAAAAGCTTCTTAACTGAGTCACTATAGCCAACCAATCAGTGAACATGCTAACATCACTGCTGCCATTTAAATGATCTGAAAGAGCTTCTTCCTTGCAAGATTCTAGCCAATCATGGGATCATAGATAACTTAGGGAACATTAGCATCACTGTTGCCATTGAACTAATCAGATTTATCTACATGACAAACTATGCCATCTCGATTATCTTCAGTGGGAATCAGAGGGAAGAAGAAGAAGTAGTACTGTTCAGGAAACTTTGTGGATGCTACCAGTGTTGCCACTCTGCTGCAGTTTCAGTACTCCATAGCAAGAGTTATGCTCCACTGCAGTTCTAATAAAGAGCAGTTATGCATTCCAAGTTGGGGCAGAACATGAATGGGGGATCCCGCTCAGATGGGCTTCAAAATACATATCTCATTGGGAAAAGGGAGCTGCAGGTGGGTAGCACCTGAATTCAGTTGTCCCCCAGATCCAAATGTCACCTACTCTTGCTGTGCTACTTCCAAATGAGTGTGCATTTCCAAATGCAACTCTAAATGCACATATCCATTACTTTTCCTTCTTTATTGAGGAGTTACAGAAGTACTCTGTCTATCCAGTGATATCTCATCGGCAACATTAAGAAAGAAGGGTAGCCTTACCTTTGGTGGAAGCAAGGATTTAAAACATGTAAATTCTAGGAGTGCTTCCAACAGTCTTTTCATCAATCTTTTTACAGTAGTACCTCTGGTTAAGAACTTAATTCATTCCAGAGGTCCATTCTTAACCTGAAACTGTTCTTAACTTGAGGTACCACTTTAACTAATGGGGCCTCCTGCTGCCACCACCGCCGTACGATTTCTGTTCTCATCCTGAAGCAAAGTTCTTAACCTGAGGTACTATTTCTGGGTTAGTGGAGTCTGTAACCTGAAGCGTCTGTTACCCAAGGTACCCCTGTATTATGGTCAATGGTCAGAATTCAGGGTATTATCAGCTGATCTTCTCCATGAATCTTGGAATGCCAAATTACCTGGTCTTGTTTCACATACTAATCCTGATGTGTTAGGCAGCCTTCACCACTCATTTGTTTTATTGCTGGATTTTCCATCCATATAGTTAGATCTTTTACTTAACCTCATGCCCTTGTGGGAAATCAGATAGAGATGTCTTTGGCTTGGCACTCCTGGGGCAGCAGAGGGCAACAGGATCTCTCAGCAGGTTTTCTGAATGGGAAGGGAATAGGGGAGGAAACAGGCTGTCATCCCATTATGAGGACAGTTGCTCAGGAACTGACCTGGGAAGAATGTTTCAGTTGGGAGAATTTGCCCGAGGGCAATTAAGGACCAGCAACTGGTAAAATATATCCTGCGCTTTTGTGAGCACAAGTGTACCAGTGACCCTGAGGGCTAAGGACAACCATTGGAAATATAATGATAGGCTGGAGAATTTCAGACGGCAGATTAAATTTGCTCAACTTGGCTGGGCCCCTAAACAAAACCAGCAGCCATGGTACCCTCAGATTAGGTTTTCGGCTGCAGTGCTATATTACACTTACTTACTTGGAAGTAAGCCCAAGAGAGCACAGCAGGGATAGCCTTCTGAGTATACATGCATAAAGTCCAAACCAAGTGCAAGCCTTTTGAAACACACCACAATTGAATATCATGCTTACGGTTTAAAATAAAACTCAGGAATTTGGCGGAAGCATTTCTAAGCAAAATAATTTAGATGTTAGGCAGAAGGCGTCCAGGATTTCAGACCGGTGTGTTTTTACATAAACATGGCATGAACTAGTAAATACGAGTCCTGCGTTTAACATTGCCAGTATGTCAGTGTCAACAATAATGAGCTGGATGCAGCAGTAGTCTGACTCTGTATGGTTCCTGGGTTCGATAGAAGGTTAATGGAAAGGAGGCAGAAAGACTGGCTGAGCCCAATTCTCCCAGAGGTGGTAAATCTATGCCTGAGCTATATGACTTCAGACTGCAGGAAGAGGCTCACACGCCCAAGTATTACAAATACAAAAACCTCCATGTTGACAATGGGTGGAAGATCCTGACCTAGTCTTTCCCTTACATGCTCATTTTCATCGCATTAGCCTCCATTTCCATTCTGAAGCCATACAGCCCAGAGATAGTTACCACCTCAAGAAGAATGAGGCTAACGGAAGTCTATAAAGCTGTACTGATTGATGCCCTGATACAAATATGGGAAATGTTTGACCCACAAGATGTTGCTGAACTACAACTTCCATCACCTCCAGCAAGTGTAGCCAATGAATTGTAGGCATGACAGGATTTGTAGTGCAGCACAGGTTCTCCACACCTGCCTTACTGAGACCCTACAAAACGTATTAGATTCTCCTAGCGCAAAATAATTTTAAGAAAAGAGTGGTGGACTGAACTATTCAGCCCGGCCTTTTCAGCATTTCGTGAAGCTAGGGCAAACCTGCTCCTTAAGATCAATTGGGGGAGGGGAGTTATTTGGGGTGGAGTTCTTACCTTTTAAATAGAAACAGCTAAGGTTTTCTTTAGCTTCTTTGCCTTCACAAAAACTCTTCTGCCCCTTCTAGATGTTTTCTGAACAGAATGGCCCATGACAGAAGAACAGAGTAACACCAGGGAAAGACTCAGAACCCTGTTATACCCTGAATATCAAAGTAATGGGATACCCACAGAAGATTTTAGAATTTTGCCACACACACCCTCAGAAAAGTTGTCTAACGTATACTTTCTCTGGGGACAAATGACCCCTTAAAGGAGGATGTGGCTATTGGTCCCCAACCCCCTTCCCTAAATGGTCACAATGGGACTAAATGGGTGGGAAAGCAAGCCTCAAAGGGGTAGGTTTGCAATATTTATTTATATTTCTAGGTGGCTTACCTCCTTTATTTTAAGGTCTCTCGTTCCGCTCTCCATTGGACTAAGTCTTTCAGTTCACTGAGTTTAGTCAGCTGAAAAGCAGGTTGCAAACAGCGAGGTGGTGGCAGTAGCAATTGTGCATGAGAAGGTGCCAATTCCTTTCCTCCAGTTTTAAGGAAGCAGAAGCAAGATCCCCAATGCAAGTTCCTGGTATAACTATTCCTGCGCAAGTGGTATGCCCAAGCAAGTCTGTTTGGCCTCCCGTGGGAGGTGAACTGTCTCTTTAATGAGCTCAGTTATTGGACCACTTGCTGCATTCTCTGCCTGCCTACAAAGGGAGCAATGATGCATGAGTCATATTCGTGACAGTTTTATCCTGTTTATAACAACAGCTGACTGTATATTGGGCTCCAGCACAAAGCTGCTTCTACAAAAGTTGCTGGATTTATGTCATCAATCCCATTGTGATGAATTTGCTACTTACTTTGCACACAAAGAAACTTGTATTCGGTGCCTTTGGGGAAATGCAAGTTCAAGCGCAGGGGCAGGGGCAGGATCTCAGGTACACGTGGACGAGATGGATGAAAACCAGCCAAGCTCTGGAGAAAGTCCGTTAATTGCTGGATAGGGTCTTACCAGTTGCGTCAGAAATGCAAGATGGCCTCACATCCTTGGTCAACTGTTTAAAATCTAATCTAGACACTCCATCCAAGCAGAAATCATTGTTTCTTAGGGTCAAAATGACCAAGTAACTCTGGGGTTGGGAGTGTCTTATTGTGTGTCTTTGCCTATCTGCCAATAGAGAAAAGTGAAAGGAAATGGAGCCCATGTGGTCAGGTGGTTTCCAAACTGTTCTAGGTTTGCACTAGCAGCATCATGTAACGGGTCTGCAACATTGACCAATACGAGGAGGAGGCACAAAACAGCCAATGTTTAATGCACAGGTTGCCATCATGATCCCTATGGTCACACATGTTCCCCCAGAGGCTTTCCTTGACGCCACTTCTTTTCATGGAAAGCTCAGCTGACCAACTATTCAGCTTTGTTGAAGGTGAATTGGGGACAAGCAGAAACATGATCCATCTTGGCCATTTGAATCAGCCTTCATTAACATAAAGAACTGAAACATATTTTATTGTATGTTTTTTTCCCTGGTTGGCTCTCCACAAGCCCTACTGATTATAAGACACTAATCGGTTCATATAAACAGAGAATGAGCCTTCTCTTCCCCAGCCTGATGGGTTTAGATTTTAAGGGATGGGGGCAGACACAAGTATCTCTTGCTTTCCTTCTTTCCAAGGTTTGAAAATATATATATATATATATATGCTTTCGTAGATTTTCACGGGTACAGGAATGCAGGTTTTGGTGTCCTCGGGTGTCTTCCCGTGTAAAAGTTGGGGTGTCTAGGCGACGTTTCGACGAGGTCTCACTCGTCATCTTCAGGCTGGTGCTTTCGGCTTCTTGTTACTGGAACAGAGCAGGATCTCAGTGTTTGAGTTCCTATAAATACTGTTGAGGGGGTGTGGTGTATAGCCTCCAATGTTCTGGGCAGAGAGGAAGTTCCCAGGCTAGTGTGCCTTTTCTTCTTTTGTTCCTTAATTACTTGAGGGGTATCTTGAGTGATTTCTTGAGTGATATTCTGAGTACCACTTAGGTGGGTCATTAGGTGTGGATTAGTTGCTCAAGCCTTCGTGTCTTGACCTCTTGAACTTTGTGAAAAGTTTTTCTGAGAAGATGGCTGTACTGCACTTAGTTGTGCTCTGGCTTGGCTTCGGGTATAGGGGCGAGCTGTGGTTTTGTGCCCTGTGCCAGCCAGATCTGTGTAGGGATTGCAGGGGGGTGCAGCATCCGGAGGTGCCACCATGGTTTGGCTACTGGATGGTGTCTGTAATTTATCTGTGGAGAGGGTCTGGGTTTGGGTCTGGTGTGGTTGATTGGTGATGGCGTTCTGTGTGCCTCTGGATCTGGTGTCGGTTTTTGTGGGGAGGGCTAATTTCCAGATGTCTGGCAGGCGGGACGTGTCGTCACGCTTGTTCATGTTGTGAGGGTGTTTCTCTATCTCGATGGCTTCCATGATTATTCTCTTGTGGTGATGTTCCATGTTAAAGAGCAATTTGGAATCTGCAAAATTAATTTCGTGTCCTGTTTCTTTCATGTGTTGGAAAAGAGAGGAAGTTTTTTCTTCTTTTTTGACGGCATTCTTGTGTTCTGCGATACGTGCATTTATTCGTCTGTTTGTTTGTCCAATGTACGTGGCTGGGCAGGCTTTGCAGGGTATTTCATAGACCCCTTGGTTTTCCAACTGGATTTTATCTTTGGGGTTTCTGAGGATATTGGCTATTTTTTGGTTGGTGCAAAAGGCTGTTTTGATATTGTGTTTATGGAGGATTTTGCTAATTTTATCTGTAGTGCCCTTGATATAAGGAAGGAGGGCCATGCCATTGTTTTCTTCTGTGTCTTGGTTTTTGGGGGGTGTTTCTTTTTGGATTAGCTTCGTAACCCTGTTTTGCTGGTATCCATTGGCGATTAACACATTTGAGAGATTCTGTAACTCAGTTGTCAAGTGGTCTTTGTCAGCCAGGCGTTTGGTTCTGGAGATGAGAGTCTTGGCTACGGAGTTTATTTGTGCAGGGTGGTGGTGTGATTGTGCATGTAAGTAGCGGTTGGTGTGTGTTTTTTTCCGGTAGATAGTGTGTCCTAGGGAGCCATCAGGTTTTTTGTAGATTAGGACGTCAAGGAAGGGAAGTTGGTTGTTGGCTTCTATTTCCATAGTGAATTGTATTTTGGGGTGTAGGCTGTTGAGATGTGTGAGGAAGCTATCTAGTTTTTCCTTCCCGTGTGGCCAAATTACGAAGGTGTCGTCAACATATCTGAGCCAAAGTTTGGGTTTGTGTTCTGACTTGTCTAAAGCATTGGTTTCAAAGTGTTCCATGTACAGATTTGCGATGACCGGTGAGAGGGGTGATCCCATAGGTGCTCCTTCTATCTGTTTGTATCTTTGTCCATTGTGGATGAAGTACGTGTTGGTTAGGCAGTGGTTGGTCAGGTCCAGGATGTATTCGGGGGGATTGTATTTGTTTTGAATGGCTGTCAAGGCTTCATTAATGGGCACTTGTGTGAAGAGAGATACAACATCGAAGCTCACAAGTAGGTCATCGGGATGTAGGTTTTGCTTCTTTATTGTTTCTATGAACTGGAAGGAGTTTGTAACGTGTGAAGAGATGGATTCTGCATAGGGCTGAAGTTGCTTAGCGAGAAATTTAGCGAGATTTTGTAGAGGTGAGCCTATGGAGCTGACTATTGGTCTGAGTGGTGTTCCTTCTTTGTGTATCTTGGGGAGGCCGTAGAGTTTGGGGCATCTGGATGATTTTTCTCTGGGGATGATTCTTAGCTGGATTTCTTCACTGATAGGAGAGGCTTTTATTTTGGATTTGGTGGTTTTTTCCAGATAGGTGGTGGGATCTGTTTTTATAGGTTGGTAGGTAGGGTCTTGGAGTAGATTTGATAGTTTTGCTTGGTAGTCCGATGTGTTCATCACAACAGTGGCATTACCTTTGTCTGCTGGGAGAATGATTATGTTGTTGTCTTTCCTCAGGTTGGTGAGTGCTTTCTGTTCTTCTTTGTGTAAATTGCTTCTGGGTGGTTTGCTGGAGCAGAGGATGTTGGTGACTTCAAGTCTGATTTTATTGGCTTCATCTGGGTTGATTTTGGTTAGGCTAGCTTCGACTCCGCATATGATGTTTTCCGTGGGGATGCGTCTCGGGGCGACTGCAAAGTTGAAACCTTTGGAGAGTACTTTGGTTTCAGTTGAGGTGAGGATCCTGTCTGATATGTTATGTACTGTTTGTTTCATGGGTTGTTGTGGAGGGTGGCTGGGCTTCTGGCGTTTCTCTAGTTTGTGGAGTTTGTTGGTGTGTGTGTCTGTCTTATGTGAGGTCTCAGTTTCAGCTCTCCAGACGGCTAGTTGTTTGCATTTGTCCCAGAGTGCAGGGTGGATTTTGTTACAGAGTTTGAGGTGAAGAGTGAGCAGATCTTTGTTGGTTTGGTTTAGTAGGTATCTTTTCTTATGTAGTTCGTTTCTGATTAGGGATAGTTCAGTTCGTTTCAGGATCCTTTCGGTAGCTGGGGTTTTAGAGTGGAATTTAAGTTGGAAGCATGTGGGAATTAAGTTGTTGTCTCGGCAGTTGCGTAGGAACAAGAGATCACATAAGATGGTGGCTCTTCGGATTTCTAGTTTCTCGTAGGTTCTTGTCAGCTGGAAGGTTTCCTCCCCGTAGAGGTGAGATATTTGCTTTCGTAGATTTTCACGGGTACAGGAATGCAGGTTTTGGTGTCCTCGGGTGTCTTCCCGTGTAAAAGTTGGGGTGTCTAGGCGACGTTTCGACGAGGTCTCACTCGTCATCTTCAGGCTGGTGCTTTCGGCTTCTTGTTACTGGAACAGAGCAGGATCTCAGTGTTTGAGTTCCTATAAATACTGTTGAGGGGGTGTGGTGTATAGCCTCCAATGTTCTGGGCAGAGAGGAAGTTCCCAGGCTAGTGTGCCTTTTCTTCTTTTGTTCCTTAATTACTTGAGGGATATCTTGAGTGATTTCTTGAGTGATATTCTGAGTACCACTTAGGTGGGTCATTAGGTGTGGATTAGTTGCTCAAGCCTTCGTGTCTTGACCTCTTGAACTTTGTGAAAAGTTTTTCTGAGAAGATGGCTGTACTGCACTTAGTTGTGCTCTGGCTTGGCTTCGGGTATAGGGGCGAGCTGTGGTTTTGTGCCCTGTGCCAGCCAGATCTGTGTAGGGATTGCAGGGGGGTGCAGCATCCGGAGGTGCCACCATGGTTTGGCTACTGGATGGTGTCTGTAATTTATCTGTGGAGAGGGTCTGGGTTTGGGTCTGGTGTGGTTGATTGGTGATGGCGTTCTGTGTGCCTCTGGATCTGGTGTCGGTTTTTGTGGGGAGGGCTAATTTCCAGATGTCTGGCAGGCGGGACGTGTCGTCACGCTTGTTCATGTTGTGAGGGTGTTTCTCTATCTCGATGGCTTCCATGATTATTCTCTTGTGGTGATGTTCCATGTTAAAGAGCAATTTGGAATCTGCAAAATTAATTTCGTGTCCTGTTTCTTTCATGTGTTGGAAAAGAGAGGAAGTTTTTTCTTCTTTTTTGACGGCATTCTTGTGTTCTGCGATACGTGCATTTATTCGTCTGTTTGTTTGTCCAATGTACGTGGCTGGGCAGGCTTTGCAGGGTATTTCATAGACCCCTTGGTTTTCCAACTGGATTTTATCTTTGGGGTTTCTGAGGATATTGGCTATTTTTTGGTTGGTGCAAAA